TAAGAAATTGGGCTAGGATTCTAAGTCAGTTTCTAAAATTCTTTTCTATGTTAAAGGTGTACACAGTTAAAAAATAGTTTCAAACTGGCAAATAGAAATAAATGTAAACAAACACACTAAAGCATTATTTATAGGTCATCAAGTATGCATAAACTTCATGTGTTATTGATAATAAAAATTTATAATCATAATAGTATCGTCAGCAGATTAAGAAATTATTTGTAAAAATAAAAACTATGCAAATTAGAATTAATACAAAAAAAACGAAAATAAAACAAAACAAAATACCCTAAATAATGTTCAGTTGTATAAATATACTATTGTTTTAGACAGGAACAAAAACTAAAAAAATTTAAGAATAAAAGACAAATCGAAGTCCTAAACAGAAAATGACACACTACGACTTTTTTGCATTTCAGCGAAACTATAGCTTTATCATTTAAAATACTTTTAGTGAAGCATGTTCTTATTCAATAAACAAATTTTTTAACAAAAAAAAAAAAAAAAAAGGAAATACACGAGCATGAAAGGAAATTCAAATGACTATGTGAGAGCAGTTTGTCCTGAAATCCTTAATTGAAACAATAACAAGCTTCTACCTCTTTATTTTACTTTCCATTGGTAGAAAAACAAGAGGTGATTCAACAAAGAAACTTTGTCTATTTTTACTATGAAAATAGGTTTCTTAAGATTAAAGGTAAATTTTAAGCCAAAATACTGGTAAACACAGTAACAATATTTCGTTTATAAAAAAAAAATAATTTAAATTAAATTTAAAACTTTCACAATCAGTATGTCACGTTTTAAGTTGATCATTCAAACAATAAACAGAATCACTTTTCACAACTGATGATGCTATTTTAAAAGCATAACACTTTAACCATCTGGTGATCTTTACACACTGCAAATTTTTACACAAAATAATTTTGTGCGGATACTAAAAATACACGCACAACGTTCCTGTGACGTTACAACTACACAGCTGTTATTTAAATAGTGTATTAGTAAATAGTATTTGTAAACAGTAAGATGATGACACAGTTTTTACCTTATGTAACTATAAACTTTTTAATTCCATAAATTCCTTATTCCTTATTAAATAAATTCCTTATTAAATGTAAAATAATCGAAAGATAACATTTAACAAATTGTTCATGACAAAAATGTTGAATACTATTGTGACACTTCGTTCAGCTACAAACAGCGTATAAGGACCAAAATATTGATTTTATTCCTTAGCCCCTACGAAACGCACCCTTACGATGCAATCCGTGGAATGACATAACATTTGGCAAAACACGCGGGCCACGATCAAATAAATAAGAATGCGATTGGCTAGTGAAGTTTGAGTAACGATCTAAAAAGTGTACTGTGATTGGCAATTGAAATCAACCAGTTAGAATTAACGAATCGAGAACGGCCATCTTTTCCCGGTATTGTTCAAGTTCGATAGTCAACTGAAAAATCTTTGGAAACAAGTTTCCGACTGTCTTCGTACGCAAAGATAGGCGTCGTAAGACGAAATACTTTAAGAGGAAGGACCTTGACAATCAGGAAAGCGCGCTGCGTCGTCGCGACGCTTTATGACGATGCTTATCGGCGCGATGCGCCGTAATCGATAAACCGGCTGTCCGCCCACCCTCGTTGCCGTGTATTTCACCTTGCGGTGCATTCAAATATTCATGACGGCCTCTTTTAATTCTCTACGCCCAGTTGCGTTAATATAAACTACAAAATTCATTATAAAATTGTTATATTCTTCCACAAAACCTTTCTGATTGATATAAATCTTAACTTGAATCTTTTTATTCACTGCACCTAGGTCAAATACAAGTCCATTTTCAGAAATCGCAAGTTTTAGTACGAACACGATTTGATGACATCAAATCTTTCGGTAGAAAGTAAATGTGCTACATGTTTAATGGAACGGACGAATTTAAACACTTTAAAAAATTTTGCAAAACACAAACATCATTTCGAATACTAATATTTAACCTATTACAAACTCACTTTCTAATCCCCAAATTTACTAAAACTTCTTCAGATATGATATTAACCAAATAATGATATTTTGCAACGACTATTTCCGGGATCGCCAGTATAGGTGAGCGACTCTTGGCCTTCTCGACCCCGCATACCGTGATCTACCTGTGGCTTCGCTTTTCTCAACTAATCGCCTTACGCCTAGTACGAAAAGTTACTTGAGATCGTTGGCAGCTCCGACACCAAGATGACTCGTTTTCGCGCGTTTGAGTAGGATAAAGTGAGACTCGTTTGGCAACAATTCCAGTTTTCATGACTATAAAACACGCAATGCATCTGTGTTCCACGCAAGAACATCTCAGCAAGAATTCAGTTCACTGACAGGCCCGACAGCTGATCGCTGACTCGACAGCAACTCGCGCAAACAACGTCTGTCAAAAGGTGCAATCAAACCACCTCTCATTGTCTGTAGTCTGACAGATAAGATAATGCTTAAGACTAAAGGAAACAAAATTCGGTGCAAAGGTTTAAGTTCGATGGCTCGGCAGTTGCGGCAAAGCAGTAGTACTACCGCACAACGTAAATGGTCATTCGCGAAAAAATCAATTCGGAGTGACGTGCAACATGTACGTTGAATATGTGCGGAGCGTGGCTAGATGACTGACCGAAAGTCATCAACCAGTATCTTAAACAGTGTTTGATCGAGTGTACAACGTCAGGCAGTGTCACGTTGGTCAGAAAGCATTGATAGAAAATCGTTGAGTGAACGCGGAACAACCGTTTGTTGTAAATCGTGCACGGCCATTTTGCTAGAACCTGTCACGTCTGGTTGCCGTAGATTTTACAGTCAGATCAACCTGTTAACTATCAAATACATTGTGGGAATCAAAGTTCGCATACTGGGCCTTCAATACTTACTCTTTTTGTTCGAGTAGCAGTAACCGAGATCCTTCGAGATTGCAAAAATCACGGGAAAACCGGACGAACACAACCACCGAAAGACTACTCGAGATAACTTCTGCGATAGGACTGTCTCGCAAGGTGGCGCCTGCGAAAGTCTTCCCTTTTAACGCATGCGCCAAATATCGATGTCACTAATCTCTCTCGCTATCCAAGAGAACTACATTTCGACCATTACATAGTCACTAGGGAATTTTGTATTAATTCCATTTACACTTTCCTATGAGGAAAGTAGGGAATCTTAAAAAACTTAACCGTATTTCACGAGCATCTAATTGTTAATATTACAAATATTGCAATTAAAAGATAATAAATAAATAGTTATAAAATTGATAAAATTAAACAAATACTAATATACGACTTCCTTAAGGCAGTTTTCAAATTTTGTTATTTTAAAGAGGTTAAGGTAACGCAAGATCACCAAAATGTAAACATTCTCATGATGTTGAAGAAATGTAGTTAAATATAATTAAATGTAATATTTCTATTTTTTTTTAAATAAGATTTAAAACTAAGTTGAATTTATTACGTTATCGAATGACGACGTAATCTGTTTCTAATTGTCTTTTTGTTACATAAATTGCAGAAATTTATAAAATTGTACCTCTATATAAAGATAAAAAATCCAAATTTTGATGGCTTTTTCACAATCAAATTCGAGAGGTAATATTCTGTATAATTATATCATTTTCTTCAATCCCTAACTAAGCTTTTATTTGAATTGATTATAGAATTACAAAACAGGAAAATCTTAGAAGAATTGCAACTTAAGAAACAAATGCTTTTAAAACAAGGTGTGGCACCAACATTGACTACATCATTAGCTGTTACTTCAACAGGTTCCCCTTCTAATTTGGTACATTTCATTTCATATATCATTTTTATTTAAATCATCAGGTAAATTGTTATACATTTATGTTTTAAATATCTTTACTTATTAGCCTCCTACACAGCCCTCTGATGGTATTGCAATGAGTGCATCCCAAAGAGCTGCTTTGCACAATGCACATGCAGCATCATCAGGATACTTTGTGACACAGGATTCTTCTTTTGGCAATCTTATTTTACCAGTTCTTCCTAGATTTGATACTAAATGAAGAAATTAAATTGCATGCATTCAGGTTGTACATAATAAATGATATTGTGGACTTTATATGTAAATAAGTGTGATGAAAGTAATTTGGAATATAAATTAGGTATATTTTTTAAGTGTACTTCTTAAAACTAATGAAAGTAAAAGACAATACTAGGTGACAATTTATGATTAAGTAAAGAAAATGGCTAGCATTCATCTTCGCCATTTAGAAGAATATTTGCAACAATTAGATGGATTTAATAAGCCAAAAATATTACTTGAACAATATGCTACTAGTGCTCACATTGCATCACACATGTTATACTGTGCTCAATCACAATTCAATGATATAGAGGGGCATACAGTAGCTGATTTAGGTTGTGGATGTGGTATTTTATCACTGGGAGCACAGATGCTTGGAGCATGTCATGTTATTGGATTTGAAATAGATTCTGATGCACTAGAAATTCAATCTAGAAACTGCAGTGAAATAGAATTATTTGTGGAAGCTGTGCAATGTGATGTACTTCAGTACCTACCAGGTATATGTATATAAATATATAAAATGCTCTTATCAAAATTAATACAAATCTATATTATTATATTGCAGGAAGGTTTGAAAAATACTTTGATACAGTGGTTATGAATCCACCTTTTGGAACAAAGCATAATGCAGGTACAGATATGAAGTTTTTGGAAATCGCGACCAAGTTAGCATCAAATAGTGTATATTCACTACATAAAACAAGTACACGCAATTACGTTCTTCAAAAAGCTGCACAATATGGAGCCAAAGGCAAAGTTATTGCAGAACTGAGATATGATTTACCAAAAGTATATAAATTTCATAAAAAGGCTTCTGTAGATGTTCATGTGGATTTTATACGATTTGAATTAAATCAGTGAAATATTTTTATGAAACCAATTATACATCCTAATTGATTATTCAAACTTTATGCCTTGTGCCAATGGCAATTCATTTCCATAATTAATAGTTATAGTTGCACGTCGCATATAATGTTTCCATGCATCACTTCCACTTTCGCGACCACCACCCGTAGCTTTTTCTCCTCCGAATGCACCTCCAATTTCTGCTCCGCTCGTCCCAATATTAACGTTTATTATTCCACAATCAGAACCATGTGGACCAATCCACTATAAAACAAAACTTAATACTAATAGCATAATATAAATGGTGCAATCATATATCATACGTTACACGCTTACCTGAAATACATTTCCTATGCTTTTGGTAAAGAGGGAACTGCTCAGTCCTTGTTGTACACCATTATTAAGAGCAATAGCATCTTCTAAAGAATTTACTTCAAAAATGTATACAATTGGTGCAAAAGTCTCTTTTTGAACTATTTCAGCTTTAGGTGATAAACCAGAAATAATTGTTGGTTCAACATAAAAGCCAAGTCTTTCTATTTGCTTGCCACCAAATTCAATTTTACCACCACTTTTTAAAGCACTATCT